TTTTTATTAAAATTTTAATTTTTATTGCATTTTAATTTTTGATAATATTAGATTAAAATGCAATAAAATTAAAATTTAAATAAAAAATGCTCAGAGCCTATTTTCCTAGCAAACCTTCTAAATAATAGGGATTTTTTAAAAAAGATATTATTAAATTAGCAACCTTTTTTTATTTTTAATATAAAAATATATTATTGTTTTTTATATTTTTTTAAAAAAAAATATTATATAAAATTAAAATTAATAATTGTTTAATTTTATAATAAATTTATTACTTTATAATTAAATTAAATTATTTTTATTTAAAATAAATACTATAAAACTAAAGCAAAACATTTAATTTTTTAGATAGATCAGATTAATTTATATATGAGGTTTTTATAATAGAAAGAAAGAAAACTGCTGGAAAAATAAAAAATTAATTAATGTTAAATTTGAACATATTTCAGCCTAAAAATTATATTTGGTATATAAAAGTAAATTTAATTTTTTCTGGCAGTTTCTCCCTTTCTATTATAAAGATTCCATATAATTAATCTGATATGATATGATTTGAAATCATATAATATACAGATTAGATCAGATTAGTTTAAATATATATTTAATGATCAATTTTATATTTGATTTGATCTGATTTTATCAGATTAAATTAAATCAATTATCTGATCTGATCTGATCTGTTTAATGTTCTATTCTTGATAAATAACAAGATTAATAAAATTACCACATCTATATAAAAGTTTTTTAAATTTTTATTATAAATGCAAATACATTTTAATGAAATAAAAGAAATTATCATAATTGATAATAAAATAAAAGTTAGGCTTGATAAGTTTTTGAGTTGTTTGAATTTTTATTTAAAATAACTTTAAAATTCAACAATTCATAAAAGTCTTGTAAAAATATAAAAATTGGTAATTTTAGAAAATATAAATCAGATTATTAAATTCAAATCAGCTTTAGTTTTAAATTTAGATTTAATTTGATTTATCAGATTCAAATTCAGATTTAATTCAATTTAATAGGTTTAGATTTAGATTTAATTCATTGGATTCAGATTTGAATTCAAATTTGATTTGTCAGATTTAAAATAAAAAAATCTGTTTTAAAAGTTAAAGATAACAGTTATTATTTAAAAAAATAAAAAATTATTATTTTTTATTATAATAAGTTTATTCAAAAAATTGAATGTAACATTTATTATAAAAAATAAAATTTATTATTTTTTATTAAAATAAATCTATCCCAAAAGTCAGAGGCAATATTTATTATTAATAGGGATGTTAAATGATCCTAAATGGTCCTAAAAGTCCCAATAAATTTGCTAGTTCTAGAGAAGAATTTTATTTTGCTGGCAGTATATTTTACTTTTTAAAAACAATGTATTAATTGAATATTTATTAAAAATATATATTAAACTTATGCGGAAATCCAGAATCTTAATTTTTGAAATTTAGGATCTGGTTCTAAGGACCAGGTCCTACCTTAGTGGTCTCATAAAAATTGTCGATTTCAAAGTTCATATTTCTTTTAAAAGTTATTCATAAAATTAATTATAACAATTTTTTATCAAGAGTTACTTATTATATATATATAAGCGATTAGACTCGAGCCATGTGTACATGGTCACATTTTCGCTTTCGACAGCATTTGATCCATAAGCACGTGAATATCCATGGTAATTTGTACAGAAGACTAGGCGGATTCAAGGAATTTTGCTGTACCCATGTAAAATGAATCTTGATAGAGATATAAATGGTGCTCGTAATATTCTCTTACGGGAGCCTATTCCCTAATTTAAACTTTGGTTAATGTGGGGTTCTGTTAGTAATGATAGGTTTTAATGTAGGCGTTACTTGATTTCTGTTTCTAAAAACCACAGCCCATATAGCTTTTTATACATTAATGTAAACTTTAATGATGGCTTCTTCTTATTACGTGGCAAATGAAAAAAAAAAAGGTCAAATCCGTTTCTGTCACGAAATCATTTTCCTCTACGAGAAATGTGTTCGGAAAATTGAAAGTTATGGTTGGATAAATTGTATAACGTGATCATGAAAGTTTCTAAATTTAGTTAACAACGGACACAGACAATTTCGAGATAAAAAACCACTCTACTCTATCTTCCACTTTCCATACGCTTTTTCACAAATCCCTCCAAGCTATAAATTTATCTTACTTTCAAATTTTTTATAAAACATTTACGACATCGGTTTTTTTGGTAAAAGAAAAGGTGAAGAGGGAAGCTTCCTTTATCGCGAAAGCTTTGAAAGTACATTTTAAAGGTTATTTAAAAAAAATACGTGTCAAAACGTATTTGATATTTATATTCTGCCTTCAAACGAATTAAATAGTTATGAAATATGATTTAATGTTATGAATTTTTCATAATTTGTCTTGAAATTTTAATTAACTCGTATATATATAACTTTTACCTTACCTATTTATTAAAATGCTTTTTTTCCTCAATATCAGTAAATATGTCTGACCAAAGTGAACAAGAAATCGACACCACTAACAAGACTCAGCCTGATATAGCTGTAGCTGATACTTTAGAAATTTCAAAAAGACCGCGTCGAACAAGGAAGGCAACAAAATTTTACACTCCTGCTCAGTCCATTTCTAAAAAACGAAAAAGAAGGGTAAAGTCAAAGAAAACCGCAAGAAACAAAGAGCCTACAACAACTGGTGATAAGAGAAAAGCTTTTGACGTACCCGTCGAGCAACCAAAAAAAATGAAGGTTTCAGAGTTCACGGGTTCTATGCGCAATCTGAACCTCAAAGGTAAATATGATGAGACTGAACATCGACAGAAGAAATTATCCGCGGTCATGAAGGCCGATTTAATTACGGTCCGTTCAGTGCATGGTAAAAAGCACGTTCAACAAGGACGCTGTTTCTCAGTAAAATACAAAAGTTTTGAAAAATGTACTGCATGTAAGTATTAATAGAAATTATGGTTAGTTATCTAATATCAATTATTTCATTAATTAAGTTGTTTTCTTATGGTCAATTAGGCTTAGCCAAGCAAACAGACGTATGCAGATTCAACGGTATACGAGTTTTCGAGCAGAAAAAGGAAGATAGGTTAATATACGGCCCTGACTTTATTTCAATGACGGACCCCGAACCGGCCTCAACTTATGAGGCAGAAGTAAACGATGACGAAGTTAAGAACGTTCGCATTCTTGGCAAGTAAACATCGAAAATTTATTATCATTGCATAAAATATTTTGCTAAAAAAAAAATATTCAACATGTAACTTTTCTTCTTAATATAGATTTGATCGCACCAACGTTCATTAAGTTCCTTCAAAAAGAAATTTCACATTTTAAAGTGGCTAAATTCCGCAAAATACCAGGTCGCAACATCTGTCAATTGTGCGACGGTTGCCAAACAACAATATTTAGCGGATATTGGATGTGCTGTGTTTGTGGAAGGGAATATTGCCTTTCCTGTCATGAGGAATGGAACAATGTCTATGAATTTTCGAATGAAACTGGAAAATGTTCTCATAAGAGGCATCATTATAAAGAACAGCTGGTACCAATGTATCATTATAAAAAAGAAGAAATTCTTCGTCTCATTGATCAATGTAATCAGATGATTCTCGACGATGACGATAGTATAGATTTAGACGACGGTGAATTGTCCGACGATGAATCCGTCATAGAAAGCTCAAGAGCCGCTTCTCAACGCCGCCAGAGAACTCCGCGAAAAATTCGAACACTTAATGCACAGGTTTCTGCCGCAGATAACAATATTCCCGCCCAAGGAAATGACGAGCATAATAAGACTGATGATAAAAATATTCCCGCCCAAGGACATGACGAGCATAATAAGATTGATGATAAAAATATTCCCGCCCAAGGACATGACGAACATATTAAGACTGATGATAAAAATATTCCCACCCAAGGACATGACGAACATAATAAGACTGATGATAACAATATTCCCGCCCAAGGACATGACGAACATAATAAGACTGATGATAACAATATTCCCGCCCAAGGACATGACGAACATAATAAGACTGATGATAACAATATTCTCACCCAAGGACATGACGAACATAATAAGACTGATGATAACAATATTCTCACCCAAGGACATGACGAGCATAACAGGTCTAATAAGACTATATATGAAAACAATATTTCCACCCGAATACATAACGAGCATAAAAAGACTGAATATGAAGCTAACGAAATGACTGAAGAAATTTTTAGAGACCTTTGGAGGAAAGGATACCCTTTCGTGATCAAAGGCGTAGATAAATTAAGTGAGGATATTTGGAAACCACAATACTTTATTGAGCATTACGGGGAACATGAGTGTACAGTAATTGATGTCAAAGAGAATGTCGAATATAAAATGGATGTCAACACATTCTTTAAAGGTTTTGAAGATTTTAACGAGCGATTCATAAATTATTTTGGAAACCATCCCTGCTTAAAATTAAAGGTATATTTAATGTATTATTCGAATTTGTTTTAAAATTTAAATTATTATATTAGTGGCCATATATTTATCTATTTGTGTTATAAGGACTGGCCACCAAAAGATGATTTCGCAGAGACGTTTCCAGAACATTATAAAGACTTCTCTAATAGTTTGCCATTTAAAGAATATACGACTCGTGGCGGTGCCCTGAATTTAGCTCACAGATTACCATTAGAGATCAATCGTACTGATCTTGGTCCAAAGATGTACAATGCTTATGGTTCTGAAGAAGATATAGGTGGTAAAGGTACCACGAACCTTCACCTTGATATAACAGATGCAGTTAATTTGATGGAATATGCTCCAATAGTTGAAAAACGCCTGGAAAACGAGCGGGATAAACCAGCAGCAGCGGTATGGGATTTGTACCATTCAGCCGAACTTCCAAGAATAAGAAGATTCTTAAGAAAAATTGCCAAAGAACGAGGATTGTCTATTTGCCATCCAATACATGATCAATTTTTTTATTTGGACAAAGAATTGAGAGAACGATTGACGGCGGAAGAAGGAGTTACAGGATGGAGGTTAATAATAATAAACTTCCTTATTTATGTTGTCTATCTGAGAGAGATTTTTTTGTGACTAACATCATTTATTATCAGAGTGTTACAAAACCCTGGCGATGCCGTTTTTATTCCTGCAGGATGTGCACATCAAGTCTGCAACTACACAAGCTGTGTCAAAGCCGCGGTTGACTTTGTTTCTCCAGAAGGAGTTGCAAGAAGTTACATTGTAAGCCAGCAATTTAGAAAATTACGTAATGGGCATAAGAGGAGGATGGATATCCTTCAGCTTCCAAATATTCTTTATCACGCCTGGAGTACTTCCTGGGACGAAAGCAACGACTAAGCTGCTCAAATACATAGCCATTTATTTTACGAGTTAATTTTTTAAATATCTTTAATTACTTAGACGTAACGTCCTCTTAAAGAAATTTTTTTAAAAAAGTCCTTTGGGCGAATGTGTACATATTAGAAAAAAAAATTATTAAAAAATTTTTTTTTTTTCCCTCATTTTTTTTTCATAACCGCTACGAAGGTTCACTTTAGCCTTCATCATCTGATTATTAAACATAGTATTAATGTGGAATTTCAAATATTACATATCATATGCGTTTTGCAATATTAAGCAACTCGGCAAATAAATTCCTTCAGAAAGTTGTATTATTAATTTTTTTTAAAAATTTTTATATATAATAAAATAATATCATAGCTTATGTTTTTTTATATTTAAATTATTATTCAATGCGTAGTGCTAAGAAAGTTTATTACAAAGTACTTATCTATTGTATTTAAAGCGTCAATGAAATTTATTAAATGAAAAACACACATATATATTATCTGCTTTTAAATTTTAATTGTAATTTGATAATCATTATTAATAAAATTACAACCTAAAATATTATTAATCCTTATGGAGTTGTTACTAAACACCACCTTTTAACCGCAAGTACTGCAACACTTATAATAGTTAAGGTAAAAACTAAGTAGAAAATGAAAAGATCAATTATATGAAAAAAACCGAGAAATTCCCAAAAGAATCTTAATCATACCTCCTAAAACAATTCTATATATAGCAGGAATATTAGATGATCTTTTTTCTAATTCAACTTGATTTTTCAAAGTTGTCAACTTAAAAAAAAAAAAAAAAGAAATCATAAAGATTCAATAAACATACGTAAGCGAGCAATTGTATTAAACGAAAGCCGTAAAGATGGAACAACCAATTTGAAAAGTACGTACAAGTTGTTGATGTTGCTTTAACCTTTCATTTTTATCACGAATCCTTGTTCGAATATAAGTTAATTTATTCGCTATTCCTCGAGTAGTTTGATCCGCCATATTAATAGTTTCTTCCATTTCTTTTGTTGATCTGGATCTAGTCACCGAAATGCTTTCATCCATTTCCTAATTAAAAGAAATAATTTTCGATTTTTTTTTAAAAAAAATAAAAATTCGAATATTATTAAAGAATCATCCCTGTTTCAACTCTTAACCTCCTCTTCCTCACCTTTGCAAGTTTGTCCAACTCTCGAAATTTACGTATACTTGAATCAAGTTCCCTTGATTTGTGTACAATTGTATCCTATTATTTATCGAATGATGAATACGTCTATTCCCTTTTCTTTTTCTTTTTTTTTTTTTTTAAAAAAAAAAAGTTAAAAAGGTTCAAATTTGAAATAAAAAATTAAACTTACGCGTAAAGTAAAAATTTTGCCTTCATATTGATTACAACTATTTACTAATTCTTCAATTAATTCAATAGCATCCATGGGATCAATTTCTTCTTCATCACTATCAACTTCCTCATCTTCATCCGGTTCAGAACCTGATGATTGCACCGTAATTATGGGCAATGGTTCTCTCGAATAATATTTCAACATCTCTACATGATTCAACGTAAATAAAATTGAAACCGCGATGAATGTCAAAGAAAAAAATTATATATATGGAATTTCCTGGTTAAGAAAAAAAATTACCGGAATATTTTTTTGTATCAGTGAAGAAGCGTATGGTATTTAAAAACCTTCTTTTTTCATCCAAGGAATAAGTTCCAAGTTTTAAAATTTCTTTTTTCGCTTGAATCTCAAGTATATTTAGATTTGCGTCTATGGATCATAACATAACAATATATATATTGTTTTTGACGTATTAAATAATCGCGACCCACCCATTAAAAATCATGGATAAAATAAACTTTTGATCCCAGAAAAGAAAAATACGTTTTACTAACCAGATTCATTCCTTGTTATCTTATGTATATCTCCTTCAAATAATATTTCATCAACAGAACAAAGTTCTTTATATTCAACATCTTTAAACTTAACAAACACATCATCTTTAAATGATTTAAAATCCTTTTTATTTTTATTCACTACTCTTTCTCCATCAAAATATTCTCTTACTCCCTCAATATCACTAATAACTTCATCATTACTACGACATCCGAAACGTTCTATACACCAAGTTTGATCGTCTTTATCATTATCATCAATGATATGATAGTATAGAATAAAGTTTTCGATTTTTAAAAGTAAAAAATCATAAATATCATTCTTTATCGTTAAATTTTCAAAAACAAAAAGTAATGGTAAATCAATAAATTTTTGAACACTTTCCAAATTCATCTTTATGGAAAGTCTATCATCGAAAGCATTAGAAGATAAAGAAGGAGATTTTGGTATTATACTAGTCATTTGTTCATAAGGAAATGATTGAAAAGATTGTAATAAATTCGATTTATTATTATTTGATGATGATTGTAGATAAAATGCAAAAAATGGTGATTTTATATTAAAAGATTTTTGTTTTTTCTTTTTCAATGATTTATTAAGTTTACGCCTTCTACGAAATATCATTGGGGTTGACGCATTAGTAACACTTTTGGTAGAAGGTTTAACAGATGATGACAATGTTCTCGTTGATCTTCTTTTTGAAGAGGGAAATTTAAATTTATGAACCACCGGGAATAAAATACCGTCTTCACTAAAATATCCGTCATTATTATTATTATTATCGTTTTTTAGTGGTGTCGTTAAATTTCTACTCCTTGATTTTCTTGATTGTAATTTTTTTAAACGTCCAAAAGAATTGATATTGCCATGATTCTTGTTACTTCGCGTTGATGAATGTGTTGAAAGATCAGGCATTGATGCGTTATTATTACTTAATAGAAGGTATCGAGGTGTTGATGTTAAGGTTGAAGGGGTAGAAGAGGTAGATTCCGCTGGTGAGAGATATATCGGTATGTTTTGATTTTGATTCATTAAATCATTATGTGGTGTAATATCTGAACAAATAAAATTATTCATAAAATAATCACATCATAAGTCGCGTTATTTTTTTTTTGTGCGTACATACAAGGCAGTGACAAACATAAAAAAATTTTTACTTGTTAGCGTGAAATTCATCGAACCAAGGTCAAATAGGAATAGTAAAAGAGTCCAAGTCTTACCATATTCATCTGCACTAGATCCACCACTATTCAGTAATCTGGCCGTTAATTTTCGTTCAGGTCTCTTCTTTTTACCAGGGTATTTTGCAGTATGACGGGCTTTTGAAGGTGACTTGTATTTTGTATTAGTGGTGTCAACATGATTATTATTAACCGTTATTATAGGTAATGACTTTGACATTAAAAGATGTGCTTTGTTACAAAAGTAAAAATTAAAAAAAATAAATTAATTATCGATCAGTATTCAGTATTTATACTGTATGTATATGGAGGATTTCATTGATTATCTAGCTCAATAAGGAATATCCTTTTATGGCCAATATTCCAATCATTATCGAATCGATGTCATATAGTTTGAAGAGGAGAAGAACCGAAATTGAACCCAACCATCATCTGTCATCATTTCTATACATTTTGATCTATAAGTAAAGTATATATGTATATATTGAATCTTATTTTATTTGACCCTTCATTTTTTATGAAGTAAATACATTATATTGATAGGGTAAAGGAATCAAGTAATGTAAAAGGGACATGCGGTATGATTTATAATTCATTTATTTCATATAATATCATATTTATTTTATTTTTTATTAAAAAAAGAAAACTTGGCAGAAAATATATACTATATATATTTTTTTTGAGAGGGATGGATTTATTGATATATAAAAATCTATGATGATGAAATAATTCAAAAACTGATTAATTATTAAACCTTCTTGTTAAATCAAAATGTACATAAACATTCCTTTATAGATTGAAATAAAAATCTGTTTCGATAATTGATTGTTGATAGTATAATTTATATAAAAAAACGAATGTCTAGAATGTTTTTCAATAAAATAAATAAGGATAATTTTGTTAAATAATGACGCGAAGAATAAATTATTGAATGAATGGATGGATGGATGGAACGTTAACGATAAGTATTAGATTTTTTTTAATCTCATGTGAACGTTCTATGTAAGATGAATGACAAAATTAAAAAAGACATTTATCAATTATTAGATAAATTAAACAATAGGCAGGGGCTAAAATTTATCCCTATATATATACACGATCTGCAAATTAACTGAACGTCTTGTGTAACAAAGCGCAAAAATATAGTCCTTCAATTTATAAAAGATTCACTACTCCCGAACACATAACATATAGTTTGCAGAAATATGAAGTTACTGGGTATAGCAAAATTTTTGGCACGTCAACGTTAAAGAAACTCATAAGAGATACCTGGAAATAAAACCTATAAGCTCTTTTTTTTTGGACAAGAAAAAAAAGAAATTCGAATAAAATTCGAATAAAATCGTATTAAAAAAAAAATGACAACATTGACCCTATGAAAAACTATAGAGAAGAACAATTATCTTGAATTATTCCGAAAAAAAAAAATTTTTTTTCGGATTAATGTTAATTCTGGACATTTTTTGCTTTAAAAATCATATTATTATATAAAATAAATTTATCAAATTGCGATAGCTAAGAAGCATTCTCCCATAGAAAACTTGTATAAATTTCTTGCAATATATTAAAAATATGAATTATATAAAATATAATATATCTAATGAGCAAAAAATTTTCACAATGTTAAAACGCATGAATTCATTTGCTAATTTAGATTCTATTTAAAATAGTTTCGACTTTTTCAACTTCATATCCGAAGGATCCTAATGTAAATCGCATTATTTTGGGTTTATCATTATGATAGATTTTACATTATATCATGAACTTGCGTTCTTAACTTGGTAATGCCATAATTAAATCATAATATAAATATTTTTTATTTTCGATAATATAAAATACACACTACTTGTACTCTAGGATACACATTTCCAATTTCCTATATAAATACACCCTCTTCTTGATTTTTTGACAATTTAACTTGAAACAATATTCACCATGAAACATCCAATCGTCATCGTTATCATCTATCTGTAGCTTAATGAATATCGTGACTTTTGTACAAGTCCAAGGTAAAGTTCTTGAATATGTTGTAATTCTTTATTGGATCAACTTGGATTCTATTTAATTGAATCCATCATATTTAGGATATGAGGTTCTAACCATGTTACATCTTGGATCCGGTAAGGAAACCTCATTTATCGAGAATAAACATTGAGTACCCCTTAACCTTTGAATTTTTTTTACCTGGGCACAGATAGACAAATTTGTAATATTTGGATGGAGGATGACCACAGGAATTTCATAACTTACATACCTCCAAATATTGATCCTCCTTACAAATGGTATCAGTTCTACTGTAACGGTTCCAATGGAAAGAACAGAATTGGAACCTTGAATACATTAGATAATTCTACGACATATTGGGTTCATGCTAGTATGGATGAAACTTCAACAGCAGAAAAAATCCGTGGTGGATATAATGAAAATAAGTGTTTCGATTTACATGGTGCTACCGGATTCAAATGGTATTTTGAAGAGCATGATTACAATGATTGCAAAAGAATAAGAGATGGGAATTAAGTACCGCAGCAAATAATAACAGATAAACAAATCTATAACGTTTGAATTTTTGCTTCTCTTACAATTGAAATTATAATTTAATTTATCAATTCATTCATTTGAAATTTTTTAATTCACATCATGATCGTTTTGTTTTTATTGAAACAATAAAATATCTTGCACCTTTTATTTATTCGCAACTCTCAGACGCAATATTTTTCCTGGATTTGGTTCGTATTTGATACCATTTTCTTCGTTGTTTGTAAATGAAGTTTCGACCACATCGGGCTTACTTTCCACCATTTCCTTTTTAAAGTTAATGCTTTTTTGTTTTTTAAAAAAAAAAAAACATATCAATATTAGATTAAAAAAATGGTAAAAGAATCATTCAAATGTGAATTCTATAATTATGTCTTGTTTGTTTTATTAAAGAAAATATTATTTTTTTCTTAATTTGGGAAGATCATTGATAAGTTACGTCATTTCTGATAAGTCATCGGATACGAATTCGGCATTCATTGGTTCTTCAGTAATAACGTGATGGTTCGTGATATGAGCTCATATCCTTATCATTCGACTTAAAGTTACGAGTTAATTAAGTTACAATGAATTAAATTTACTTTTCCATATACGAAAGAATAACTCGGCTTTCATCTGACACTTATGTAGACTATTGAAATTTAATTATAAATCTCTTTACCAATACTTCACTGATCCATGTAATTAAATCCTTTTTTTTTTTTAAAAAAAAAATCTATATTAAGAAAGAAAAAAATTTTTCTTTATCAACCAAGAAAAGTAGCTTTAGAGATTCTTAAAATGTGGAGACAGTTTATTATTTGATCTAACAATTATTTTTTCGAACTTTAATGACATTATAAGCGAAAGCAGGTTTCATCTGTATCTTGTGAGTTACCGAAATGTTTTCAACCAATCAATTTTGGCTAGCCGAAATGATTTAAAACCAAATGTCCGAATGATCGGCCAAAACTTAAAAAAAAAAACTCCGAGTATTAATTAATCAGGTTTTCGCAATTCGACAGGGAAAGATATGTTCTCATTAAACAATAAATTATTAAACTTTATCATTACATCACGTCCTTCGACTTTACTTTTCCTTCGTTACAAGCATACTAAAAGATCACAACAAATCCCGACGCCGTTTGAAAGAGCACCAATTTTTATGCACAGTAAAGTTCAACAGATCGCTTCGGCAAAGGATGATGATAAAAGTACTACAGCGGGTCGTACTGTGAAAGTAGGAAATAATGCCATGGCTGGATATAGAAAATTATGGGCCATACTAAGTTTAAATAAAATTCGATATCAAGTTAAAAGAAATCGATATTATGAAAAACCTTTTCTAAGAAGGCAACGTGTTAAATGGGAATTTGAACAAAAGAAATTTAGGGATGCCGTAAAGAAAAAAGTACAATTAATTTTACAAATGAAAGCAAGGTGTGTTAATTATTCATAAGTTGGTGTTATTTTTTTTTATTATTATTGAACTATCTAAGAAATTGACTTTTATTTTATACAGAGGTATATAACATCGTGGTAAAAGGACATCAATACAGCTTCCATTAGTCCAAAATTTGGATTGATAAAAAAAATAAATTATTATCTCATTATTTTAAATCGATATTATATTATCCTCTTAACAATCGCTCGGTGACTCTTTCTCTTGCAGTATGATATGCTTGAATTAAAGTTTGTTCCGTAATAGGGATGTCTGTAGTATCAGTGCGAGGACGAGATACTCGAGAAACAATTACACTCGAATCAGTTTCCAAAACAATTCTAAAAAAAAAAAACGTTAAATTTCTTTTAACGTTAAGAAAAATCAAGATAAAAAAAAGCTCACCCATCGTCTATTGTCTCATCCAAGGCGAGAACTACTAGATCGAGATTATCGACAAGTGTTCTTTTCTCGACTTGATGTCTATTCAAATAATAAGATTTAGAAATCTTTCGATGAATTATTGTTATTTGATGGATGTTTAATACTTTACCTCAATAAACTTGATACAGAATCATAAAATGCATTCAGGATACTGTTCAATACAAGTTCATTTTCCTCTACTGATCCAACGACATAAAAAAAGACGTCAATACTATTTCGATAAAGAACTACTTGATTATCATAAAGAATGATTTCACCTATCAACATTTAAATGAAAAGGGGTTAGGAAAATTTCTTTTTTTTTCCCGAATAATTAAGCATAATTAGCGAAAGTTTACCATTTGCTCTTCTGGTTTTTTCAAATAATCCCTTTTCGAAAACCTTTTGTTCTTTGTTGGTAGGATATAAGTTTTTACTATCATAATATTTTCCAAGTATTCTATTACCCTCACTATCAAGAAGTATTACTGCAGTTGTTGTGTAAAGAGATAAATTAACCTAAAGCAAAAGGGGGAACAATTTAGCAAATTTTAGCTTTCTAAAACGTAACTTTTAGACTAGAATATTACCATATTTAATAACCCAATTTTTTTTTCGTTGAAAATGAGCAAAACCCCCTATATATTAAATTGTTCAAATCATTGTGCATTCTAATTGGCTAGTCATGTGATAATCTATCATTAACTTTTTCTTTTTTCACGAGATGCCAACTAATAAGAGAGAAAAAAAGGGTTGGATTAACAAGCATTCCTTTTTATCAATCCTTTAATTTTTTTTAAAAAAAAAAATTTAAATAAAAATAATGAAATTTGACTTATCAATATTACCTTTTTTATGAACGTGTGTTAATTTTTTCCTCCTTCAAACGAATTTAAAAAGACGTAATGCAGATAACCATAAATTCTCGATCTGGGAATTCCCAAAAATTTCCTTTAACTATTGACTTACCAGCTGACGCAACTGTTGACCAACTTAAACAAGCCATATATAAAAATGTATCAAAATATTATCCTGACCGTCAACGCCTGACTATTAACCAATCGGTTCTACAGGAAGGGAAAACTCTAAAGGAATTTGATGTTAAAGATGGAGATACCATTTCGTTTAAAGACTTGGGTAAATAAATTCTTAAAATTGATTTATTATTTTGATAAATTCTTTTTTTTTTTTAATCAAAAGCTTAATAATAAAGGTCCACAAATCAGTTGGAGAACCGTATTTTGTATCGAATACTTTGGACCTATCGCAGTTCATCCGATATTTTATTATTTCAATTCTCAAATTTATGGTAAAGACTTTGAGCACAGTAAGATGCAAACGTGAGTAATTAAAATTACATTTGATGATTCCTTAAATTCCAACTTTTTTTACTTAAAAAATGCATTTTTTTCGTTAATTACTTGATTAGAATCGCGTACTATATGATTATGGCTCATTTCATAAAACGCGAAATTGAAACTTTATTCGTGCACCGTTTCTCACATGGCACTATGCCTTTTACAAATGTATTCAAAAATTCATTCCATTATCACGCGCTTAGTGGTGTAAACTTGGCTTATTGGGTATATGGTCCTTGGAATGCTACTGGGAGTCTTGATGGTAAACGCGAAGATTGGCTTATTTGGACCTGTGTGGGAATTTTTGTCGTATGTCATTTATTATTCTCCATAACATCTATACATCAATGGATCGCGTATCAAAGAAATCTGATAACCATGGAACTTTTTTTTTTTTTTTGGTAGTGGGCACAAATCTCTAATTTTTATACCCATATTATTCTACGTAATCTTCGTCCACCGGGAACTCGCGTTCGTAGGATCCCTTACGGATATGGTTTTAATTTGGTATCCTGTCCTAATTATTTATTCGAGACAATCGTATGGCTTAGCGTTTGTATTTTAACCAAATCTTTTGCAGGTAAAATTCATCAATAGACTTGACTTTTATATGTATAACATTTTTACTAATTTGAAAAAAAAATTTTAAGCTTGGCTATTCCTTGCCGTAGGGTTTACTCAAATGTACTTGTGGGCGGTGAAGAAACACAAGAGTTATCGTAAAGAATTTAAAGATTACCCAAAGAATCGTAAAGCCATGATTCCTTTTATCGCTTAAAAAAACAAATGGGTATTATCTGATTTATTATTAAATTAGAGCTTAAACCTAATGATAATGGCGGCTTGTCCTACCGCCAGTTTTATTATATTCATAAAAATATGGGTTTTTTTTTATGTTCTAATGTAAGGCCATTTAAATTTACGTGTTTTTAGACTTTTTGTTTTTTGCTTGTAGGAATTTCTTCAATATACTCTTCTTCGTAATCCTCAGCAACACGCTTAAGCCCTTTCATTTTCCTTGTTTGTAATTTACCTAAATCTTGTTTACCAAGGTGAATACGACCAATCTTGTCTCCCATTTCATTAACATCGATATTCTTGATTTTCTTTGGCTAAAATAAATAAATAAATGCGTATTAGAAAAAAGAGGAACCCTTAAAAAAAAAGAACATTATAAAAAATACCTTGTTGATTTTAGGGACTTTTGTAGCCAATTTGTATACATCATCATTGGCAAATTTAAATCTTCTAATTCTAAAAACATAACTTGGACCCATTTCTTCTAATTCAACTCTTGGAGTTTTTTCACCAGATTTTTTTAACTTTATAGAATATACTTTAAAATAAATTAATCCTGGCATGGCTTTTGGATCGTTTGATTGTTCCAAAGTAGAATTAATAGCCGTAACAGAAATGATATGTTCTAATCCTGATAAATTAATGTGTTTAACGGATTGACCACGATAAAAATCTAATAATATATTTTTAAAGGTTTTATGTACATGAGAATTTTCAAATAAATCACCATTAAATAAGAATAATGGTTTCATTCCTATAGCACATTTTGAGGTCTAGATGAACATATATAATATGGTATTAGTGTCCTTGATTGATAGATATATGTATATATATTTATAATATTTAATTGCGCACCTTGAAATCATTTAATGATTTAGCATTTTCAATACCAACTTCGATCATGTCAAGTATCTGACCATCGAACATTCTAATAAAAGTTAAATTATTTGGACGTTTTTTTGTATGAGAACCAACTACAAATAACGAGGTATCATTTTTTTCACAGAAAAAATTTAATGAAGTTTCATCATCAAATGGATGTATATTATTCTTCTTTGTAAAATTTATCGCATCGGGTTTTTTTAATTTACACTTTTTCGTTAAAGGTAGAAAAGTTTGAAAAGGGAAGGAAAAATTTTATTTTGATTTAGAAATAATTGAACTACAATTCAAATGAACGTAAAGGAATAGTTTTATGACTCACTAGGTCCGATAAGGCTTCATTAACAATTTGACTTGTCGAACTACTTCGAATAAATATCGCTTTCTTTACGTTTTCTTCAATTTTTGGTTCCCGTTTTTGTAATTCTCTTTTTGAACGTGCATTCTTTGGTTTGCTACAACAAGATAAAATTATTTATTACCAAGTTAGGATCAAAGCAAAGAACCAAAATAAGAAGACATATTATGTAAACAAACATACATTTTCTTCAACATTATTTTAAAAAAATTTTTTGAAGTTCAACGAATCAAAAAAAAAAAAATAACGATAATGGAAATTCAAGTATTAAATTTGGCATAGATCAGCAAAATTTCACCTTCATGTGATTTTGACCGGCATTATGGAACTTGGCCTCGTGACGAATAGCGATTACATATGGGTCATGGTCATGGACTATCCCTGTCAAAAAAATTTTTTTTGCTCCAATATAAACTTAGCACGCTTAACTATATAAGATTTAATTTTTAAACCATGTAAAGCTTGGAGTTATTTCAATCGAAATTTTTGTTATTAAAAAGGATCGGCAAGTTTAAAATAAGAACATCGTAGTATTTATATTTGAGGAGATGATACATTATAAATGATTTCGTATTTGCCAAAAATAAATTGGCTAATTGTCAAATATTTCTATTAACCACAGGTTTAGGACATGTAATATCCCGAAATGGCTCATCAACAAATTTTCGAACAAATATTCTTGACGTGTTAATGATAAAGGTTTAGATAAAAATTTAGATATTGGAGCTCTAAAATCGAAGCGTTTGTCTTTAAAATATCAAACAGCCAAATTCTCCTCCCACCTCATTTTGAACAAATACTTTTCCTGTTTTCACTTTTTTTAAACCAAAAATGCCGATATTTTTGAATACCGGATAATTCTTTAAAATGGGGTTTTAAAAATGATTCAAAATCGTAATACAACCACCCACTTCCCTTATTATAACGAATAGCATAATTAGAGCTATTTTTGGTGGATTTTTTTTACTACTTATTCAACATCATCCACTGTATTAATCTGTGTTTTTCGAAAAAGAGCTTTAATGTTACCAAAATATCCATCTGGCAAAAATTTGGTATGTTCTGAAATCATAAAACTAACTTCAATAATTTCATACGTTCCTATCATTGTCAACCAAGACCAAAAAAATAAAGAGATTGTTCTTATTTTGAGCTGTACAATTATCACAAGCTTTTATATGTTATTCTCCTTGATAAAATTTTCTCAAAGCATTAAATACAAGATTAATAGTTGTTTTCTCTGCATAACTAGATGGGAACTCATCTTCACCAATTATATAATTTGAATGTTGCTTTTGTTTTGTATTATATACATCAAAAATATGTACTGCAAATGTTGTTTTAAAATAAATTTATCTAGCTTACTGTGGTGAAAAGGGAACAGGAACATATTACACCCAATCATAACAAATATGAACTGTTTTTTTAGATCTATTACTAGTTATAATATTATTATTATAATATTAACACTCCTTTTCTGCTTTTTCTTATGATTGCTCAAATCCAATGCTATCTTATTTTTTTATCAATATTCTTTGCATATTGAATGCTTTTTTAGTGCTTCATATGTATCACATAAATCTGTATCAGATGTTATAAATTTAATATATGGTGTAAGATTTTTCCAAAGTCAAACAAAACTTTTATATGATATAATTGAAACACCATCATCTAATTCTCTATCTAATTGCAACAAAATTTTCATAAACACTAGTATAATTCTTTTCAGTTGGTAGTAAAATAATTGCTAAAAAATCAGTTTGCATATGATAGTCTGATAAAAGAAGTCCATGAATATTTACATAATTAATAATAAAATTATAAACTCTAGTCTACTTTAGGTAAATTTTTTGTATTTCCATACTATCGCTTTGTTAACCCCTCAATTATTAGGTGATTGTTAATTGTTTTTAGAATTTTATTTGAAATGCCAAAAGTTTGAGATAAGTGTTTTTACATAAAAGAATTTCAGAATTAAAATGATAATTAAAATAACTTCTATTCTTTTGACGATTAACTAATTTTTTATTATTAGAAAAAATTAATAATTAATCTATTAACACAAAATCCAACTATGCTTTGAAATTCCAAATGTCTTTTAAGAAAGATTCAAAACCCAACTTTTTTCAAAACATTTTTCTTTTTTATTATGGTAAGTACAAGTAGCAAAGAAAAAAAATTGCTTTAAGTCATTGATAACTGTTTGCATAAACTCGTTATCTTCGTATTGTTCTAAAAAAGTGTATTCAATAGAAAATAAATATTTTTTTATCGTTATCTTTTTAAAGTAAACCATAGTAATACAAATCAAATACAAATTAAATAAAATAATACAAACATTTATTATCGAAGAAAAGAAAACATTGGCAATTATTTTTCCTGATCAGGTTCGATACACAAAAATTCGTCTGATACATAGTATTCTTAATAAAGTAATGATCATTTTTAATACTTCATTTTGATTTTATTTATATTACTGTTCCTATTAAGCTCTCAATTTGATGATTATCAAAACATTTGCAAGAAATACTCTTTTATGGAATGATTTACTCATCCGTATTAGGAAAATACTTCTTCATATTTTTGCTTACTAGTAAGAGTAATTCTACTAAGAATCTACTTAATAATCCTAATCATAATTTCATTATCTTAGATAGTAATGCCCACCCTCCATCCTTTCATATGCACATCCTTTATATACAAGATTTTGTATTCGAGATGTTTATATGATTATCTTTTACGTTATCACCGGGAAATAATCTTCTCTAATTACTTCACGTAATTTATCTAAGTTCTTTTGCTGCAGTAAGTAACTTCCTTATCGTCGGACTTTACAACCTTAGGGAATCTTACGTCCTACAGGTATCCAGAATGCCTTGGAATTACTTCACTTAGTTTACGAACTTAAAGGTTTAAGAACTTAGGAAATTTAGAGAATTTATATATTCTAAGTGATGAACTCAGTTGCAAGTTAGTGTAGTGGTTCACGATCAAATCCTAGATGATGGACACGTAGAAGGGAAAAGTATTTTT